TTGATAAGAAATTTATGGAAATATGGACTTTTTTTCCGCAATGAGAAGAAGGACCTTTTAGTTACCTGATTCCAACTCCATTAAATTAATAATTTTTTTAAAATTTTTTTCTTATAGTTAAAAAATCAGAATCTTAATGTATTAATAGATTTTAGCATCAAATTTGTCATTTCTCTCTTAATTTCTTTGCTATATTTGTCATATAGATAGGAATAGAAATAGGTCAGGTGACCTGTTAGGAGCCTATGACCTGACTTACATTTGACCTAGCCTGTTTTCCAAAAGAAGCAAGTTTAGGCCTGTTTGAAAGCCTATTTAACTTAATAGGTCAGGTTTAGGCTCTCTGAAAAGCCTATTAGGTTGGCTTAAGCTTGTTATAAATTTAAAATTATGATATCTGAAAAAATTAGTTAATAGTATTATTGTTAATGTGCTCTTTTAATTTATTTTTTAATTTTAAGATATAGTTAATGACTTTATACTTCCTTGGATTTTGAAGTTTAGTTGACAATTGAAAATAAAAATATAATTTAAAATAATAATATCAATAAAAAATGTGATCTTTAAATTTTAAAAATATAAATAAAATAGGAAAGAAAAACTTTGTTCCAAGAAGGATAAATTAATTAACTTATGTATTATGTTCATTAAATAATGATACCCTCTTTATTCATTGTAAAATTAATAGTTTTTTTCTCTTTATTTATTTGTGTAGATTTTAATTTTCATTTTATACTTATATGTAGTCCTGTTCGTAATTTTAACATATAATTATAACTAGTTTTTAATAATATCCTTATAAATTGTAATTAAGATATAAAATAGTACTTATGACACTAAAATTTAAATAAAAGACCATATTAAAAAATTAATTATTATGTACGTTTTTTTTTAATCTTAGCTTTTTTAAAAAATATCATTATGTAATTTGAATTTTTTAAAAATACAGGCTTTCTAACAGACTTCAAGCCAGACCAAGCCTTTATACAGGCTAGACTCAAGCCGAAGAATAAGCCTGTAACAGGCCACAAGTCGGCTCAAACCGATAGGCTACAAAACAGGCCTAGCTTGTTAAGAGCAAGGCCTGGCCTGGCCTGTTTTCACTTTTACATATAAATGTTCTCATCATGTTATATCTTATAATTTCATTACTAAAATTCATACTAATAATTAATATGAACTTGTACTAGAAATCTAAATAATTTTTTCAAGATTTGACGGGACAAATGAAATAATATGAACTGCTTAATATAAGTTTATACAAAAAACATGCATTTTAGTCTTTTAACAACATATGGACACTACTACAAGAATGCATAAAGCCGATGCGTCATCTGACGACATTTTAAAAAAAAAACAAAGAAAGAAAGGTCATAGATTAATTGGTGCAATTACCAATTTGCTAATTTAAAGGGACATTTTAGTCTTTCAATAACATTAAAAAATTCCTAATAAGACTCCTTAGCTTAATTAGCGATTTGTAAAAAATGCAGGTCTTAATTTAAATTTTAGTATTTTAATTAGATTTAATTGGGATTCTTCCTAATTCTTTTGTTTAACTCTTGTGTACATATTTTGGTTGATTAATAAATGTTCTTTTTTCCAACTGTTAATAAATGGTTAGAGTTACATGTTTTAATTCCATGAAAAATAAAAGATGCTTGTAGCCTTCCTTTGTAAGCTACTTTTCAATATGTTTTACTAGGATCAATAAAAGTTTTAAATCTCATTCTCACTATTTTTGTCTTAAAATTTAATAATTTTTTAATTTTATTCCTATTTAATTAATATATTAGTATACACTTTTCACAACAATCTATACAATAGTAAATAAACAGTAAAATATTATATTCAAACTAAATAATTAATGATGTAATGTATAAATAACTCATTTATTATCACAGGGCCTTGAAGCACCATGTCTTCTTTCACTTCCTCTTTCACTAATATTCGCTCTTCACCAGACATTATTTTTGTTCCACAATCTTCTTTATTCTAATAATCTTTTGGCCCAAATACATTCATAATCTCCCTCAGCTTAGGTCAGTTGCATAAAACCTTCCTCATCCTTAAAAGTTTATATTCTACATTCTCAACTTTTAGATTTTGACCATGAGACCCATATTGTTAAAATGACCGTTAAATGTAACCGAATTAATTCCATGTCATATTATTAAAAATTATGTGGCAAATGACTTGCAATTTTGACCATTTTATTCATTTATTTTGGGTTAAAGCTCATAATTATATTAAAAGGCATTTTGGTGATTCAACCTATAATAATCTCTAGCATTCAGATTTCGTCATTGTGTTGCTTTCTCAGCCTCATGTAATTCTGCAACTGGCAGGTCCTCTCCATTCGTCACAACATTTGATTTATCGTCTAATCATATTCATCATTCCACAAATCATCTTCAATACCTTCCTCCTTTAAATCAGGAACGTCCATAACTTTCATTTCTTTACTTCTATGTAACCATAAACATCCAAATATATATTAAAGGGATTGGAAGTAAATGTTAATATTATGGGAGAGACAACACGAAAAGATACATGCATTAATTCATCACATGGATAATCATCATCAGTTTCAACCATGTGACTTCATTATCATGCTTCAAGGCAAGGTGATAGAAAAAAATTTATCACCAATGACTCAATTCTTCAGCCTTCGATTTCTCATAGGAGGTAAAAAAAAATCATTTAATAATTAAAACATTTAATAACTAAGCTAATTCTGTAATTTCATTCTTTAGTTCATTTATATAGTTGGTGGATTCTTATAGTCATGTGAAAGCATATGATTTGAAAGTTGGTTATAGTTTTTTTCTTTTGTTTTAAAAAATTGGAGGTAAAAGCACTACAAAAAAATAGCTGATTAGCGATGGAATTTGCGACGGAAACAAATTCCGTCGCTAATTTCTGACGGAATTGCGACGGATTAACGACGGAATTTCTGTTCGTCGCTAAATTCCGTCGCTAATCCGTCGGAAAATCAGTCAGTAAATATTTAGCGACGGAATTTTTTCCGTCAGAAATTTTCGTCGCTAAATTGTTTGTCACAGAAGTTTTTGTCACTAATTCTATTCCGTCGCAATTTCGTCGCTAATCCGTCACTAATTTTAAATTTCGTTATTTTAAATTATAATCTTACAAAATTATATTATAACAATTAAGAATATAATGATTTAAAAACATTTTTAATTATAAAATAAATTGATATAGTATATATAAAAAAATTTTAAGAAAATAAATTACATAGGATATATACAAGCAGGAGAATACTGTTTATCATAATCTATTCAAATTATTTAATTTTTATATAGATAATTTATTATATTTTATTATAGTAGTTATTTTTTGAATAACAAGATTTTTTGACTAATTATAAATGATTTTTTTCAAATATATAAAACACATATAGATAATATAATATAATGTAATATAATACATATATCATTAAATTGTATATCTTATCAATGTTAATTAAAAATAAATTTAAAAAATATTTATAAAAAATTATTTATGATTTAAAATTCAAGATTAGTGCGGTTAGAAATTAAAATTATATTAAAAATATTTTTTAAGAATAAAAAATTATTTAAAAAATATTTAAAAAATATTTTTTCATTAAAATAGTTATGATTAAAATTATCATATAGTATATTTTTAGTTTTTAATAATGTATACAATTGTTTGTGTAAAATAATATTATATATATATATATTTAATTTTACATAATAAGTCAACAGGTTCATTGCAGCTCAACTGGTAAAGCCGCACGCGCGCACAGAGGAGGACCTGGGTTCAAGCCATGGAGAAGTCACTTTGAAGAGGAAATTATATGGTGGCGACACGTGGCAGGCAAAGGTGACATGTGATGTGGTAGCAGAGGTGAGGTGGCAACACACGTGGCAGACAGAGGTGAGGTGGTAGCACACGTGGCAGGCAGAGGTGAGGTGGTAGCACACGTGGCAGGCAGAGGTGAGGTGGCAGAGACACGTGGAGGTTGTCCCCAGTGATGATGTGGCAATTGGTAGAGGTGCCACGTGGCAATTTATTTTATTTTTAAAAAAAATCGGGTTAGTGACAGATTAGCGACGGAATTTAATTTTGCGACGGAAATTTCGGTCAAAAATTAGCGACGGGAAATTCCCGTCGGTAATTAGCGACGGAATTTTCCGTCGCTAATCCGTCACTAATTAGCGACGGAATTTCAATTCTGTCGCTAATCAATTAGCGACAAAGGAATTAGCGACGGAACAAATTCCGTCGCTAATACGTTTCCGTCGCTAATCTGTCACTAGTCCATCGCTAATAAAAATTCTGTCGCTAAAAGCATGTTTTTTTGTAGTTGAGGAAAAGAAAGAAATTTGACTAGGAGCAATTTTGGCATATTTAATCTTATATTTTGACATTTGGATCTTTTTATATAATTATAATTTTTATGTTCTTTTTATTTTTTTAATTTTACCTAATTTTTTAGCTAAAATAAAAAGAGATAATAGCTGAAAATCATATAATATTATATATTATGATATATATAATTATATATTTTTTCAGATAGGTCAAGTAGGTAGGATAGCATATCCTGCCCACAGTCCTGCTGGACATACCTTATAAAATCTAAAATGCTGAATTTTGAAAACTTGATGATGATTATCTCGTCAACTTCTTAAATGCTTGGACTTTGGATCCATAATTAACAGTTAATTAACAATTAATATTTTAAGATTTCCATCAAAGCTTTTCATGATTTGCAATTGATTTTTCACAATTTAAAATTAACACGTGTTAACGGCACGAACATGAAGGCTATTTTATCCATTTATTTTTTTAAATAAAAAAATGGATCCTTCTTTGCAATTATATGTGGTCCGAATTCCTTCCATGGTCCTTCTGTCAATCTGTCTATTTCATTTGCCGAGTATTTTTCTTTTTCAGGAAAAACAAAAGCTGCGCTTTCTTCTTGTTTTTTTTTTTTTTTTTTTTTGGGGGACTGAAGAACTTTCTTCTATTAACATCGGCCGGTCCCTTATTTGTCTGCCCGTAGAGCGAAATCTGAGTTCATATCTTCGTCTACAGCAATTATGTCTTCCTTGGCTTCTTCATTCTCCCAACCCAAATTGACTTCCAACTACGACGTCTTCGCAATTTCCCAAGTGACCCGACATCGCCTTCCAGACTTTCGGAATCTGGTAGGATCTCTAAGAGATGATACCATCAAACTTTTTGCAGACTGTATATACTCTTCAACGATGGTTGCGTCTCTTTCTTCCGCACTGGAGGCCATGGAAAGGTCGAGAATTCTTATGGTTATTTTCACGCCAGAATTCCTCAGCGTCTCCGACAAATTATTTCTCGAGAGGCTGCAGAACGTCATGGAGTGTCACAGATCTATGAATAGACCGGTGGTTCCTGTATTCTGGGGAGTCAAACAAAAGGAAGTGGTTGAGCATTTGGCGACACGATTCAGGGATTTGGACTGGATCGGAATCGCCGTTGAAGCTGCTTCGCAATCCGGCGTCACACTGTCCACTCATTTCAGGTAATAACTACTACGGCTGCTTCTTTTCTGGATCTGCTTGTATTTCGTCTTGATTTACCTATCCTCGGGATGGAAAGGAAATTAGAAAGAAAGTTTGAATAAGGAAAGAAAAATTAGGAGAGCAAATTTTTCTTCCGGAAATATTAAAATCCTACCGATGAATCTCAGAATCTACCGGCTGGAGTGTTTGAGAATACTAAAAAATCTTTTAAAAAACACTTTTTAAGACAAATTCTTTTATATATTTACTTTAAAAGTATTTTCAAAATTATGATTTGGTTTATATTCAAACAGTCTCTTAACGTGATTTGTGTAAAATCAAAATTAACGACCGATCATAATTAAAATCATATAATTTAATTAAAAATCTTGATATGAGGCTGTGCATGATTTAAACAGAGAATTACAATCAAGTGAAAAATAATTACAAAAAGATTGATAACCTCTAGAACTTATTTTATATTTTTTTAATAGAATTTAACTGTAATTCTCCCTAATTCAAACTATCTTTAAATGTACGAATTCAAAATGGTAAAAGAGTCTTTATCTTTTTTAAGTGACGCTTCCCTGCTAAGCAAATGAAAATGAGTCCATCAGTTCATGTGCTGGCGTATTGCTTTTTGCTTTGAATTTTGATACGAGCTTTTATTTTATTCTATTTAAATCTTTCGCGATTCCCAAGCCAAGGACGCGGTTGTCTGCCCCTTTTCCCCCTAGCAGTCCGTTGCCATCTTTTCGTTTTGGAATACAAAGAGGAGGAATATGAATTATTTTTTTAATTTTTTAAAATCTATCATTCTCAAATATTTTTTTTGTGGTACTAAATATTTTAAATTAATTTTTAGTACAATCAATATTTTAAAATATTTTTTTTAATCATACTCAATATCTAAAACTTGACATCCTAAGATGCTTTCCAAATGACAATTAGCATCTTAAAATCACTTCTGATTTATTTAGAATTCTAAAATTTTTTTTAGTAATATTGAGATTGAAGTATTTTTTTAATAATAATAATCAATATCTTAGACTAAATTTAGTATATTCAGCATTATAAAATATTGCCTCAGAAATTATTTTAAGATACTCCATTCGTTCCTTATTATAAGAGACAACTAATCGAAGTACGTTGATAAAAAAAACAGTTAAAATTAGTTAAGAACAATTAATGTGTAAAAAGTATAATTTTTTTTCAAAAATGTCTTTATGAATAAGGAGAGAGAGCATGAGAGAGAACAATTAAATTATTAAAAGAAAGAGAAGTGGGAGGGAGAGAAAGTGTGAGTTGGAGATAATAAATATAGGTAAAATAGGAAATCAACACAAAAAAGTAGAGACAACTTTTAAGTGTCTCTTATATATAGGAACATGCCATAAGCATCAAATATTTCTTATAATAAGGAACGGAAGGAGTACTATGTTTTGCTAAAAAAGTATTTTAAAGTTCGGAATGTTCTAAAAATTGGTTTAGAATTCTGAATGCTACTGAAAAAAACCTGCGTGATAGATTTTAGGTATTGGGTGTTACTGAAGACTTTTTAGTATACTTGATGTCACTGAAAAATACTTTAAGATACATGAACATTGTTAGAAAAATATTTTAGAATATTAATTGTATTAAAAAATAATTTAGAATCTCAAGCTGAAAAAGTATTTTAGAATGATGGATTTTTTTTCAAAAAAAATTCGTCCTCCCCTCTTTTGGGGGTAAACTACCAAAGGATGGATTTTTAATTATTAAAAATTCAAAAAAAAAGGGTGTAGTTTTGGGGGTAAACTACCAAATGTGTTGGACCAAAAAAAAACTACCAAATGTGACGAGGCTTTACTCCTTTTCTTTTTTCACTCTTTGGTAGAGGCATCTTTTGGGTATCATCCTGGAAAGACAGTACCTCTGATGCCAAAATATACTCTTGAGAGAGTTAATATTGCTTAATACCTATTTTGTTATTAATTTTTTAAAATTAATCCTAGGCTTAGAATGTTAAGATGATTAATCCTTATTAGGTCTTACACTTAAATTAGTTAATTGTTAGATGGTTCATGTTTTACCGATCTTCGCGATGGTTTTAATTGGTGTACCTATTGTCTTTTTTTGACCCAAAAAAAAAAAAATCAGAGCTTTGTTTACAAATTTTATTTTATTTTTTTATCTAGACAATTTAACTTCACTGGGGTGAGACCCACACACTCCCACTTTTGCCGCTTTATTACATGGAGCGCAAAATCTCGTTCACGTGAATATGTAGAACGGGTTGAGGGGGTGTCACTTGAGCCGAAGACTCTAGAAAGTATGTGTGTGACACTAAGGCTGTACATAGGTAGAGCTGAACAGGACAAACCTCCTGCTTGATGCTCAACCCGAAAGATAAGCGGTCCGCAAAACCTGTCCCTACCCAGTAGAAACCCTAATTATTTTGGGTTGGGTAACGGCGGGCTAGGCAGACGGGCTTTCCTGCCCAACTTAGTGACATCTTGCTCATATCATATGTAGAAAAAAATTTATCACGAATAACTAAATCACTCATATAAGTAAGGCTTATGTAGTTTTGTTCTTCAGCCTTCGATTTCTTATAGGAGGGAAAAAATATTTAATAATTAAAATAATTAATAACTGAGCTAATTTTATAGTTCAATTATTTAGTTTATTTATATAGTTGGCAGATTGTTATAGCGTCACGTGAAGGCACAAGATTTGAAAGTTGTTTTTTTTTAAAAAAAAAATTGTAGGTGGGAGGAAAAGAAGGAAATTTGACTAGGAGCAATTTAGTATATTTAATTTTATATTTGGTTATTTTATACAATTATAATTTTTATATTCCTTTCATTTTTTCTAATTTTACCTAATTTTTTAGCCAAATAAAAAGGGATAATTATTGAAAATAATATAATATTATATATTATAATATATAATTATATATTTTTTTGGATAGAGCCAAATGTGCAGGCAGCATACCCTGCCCGCAGCCCGACCCTGCCTGTGAATCAGCCATGTCCAAAAATGCCCACTTTTGTTTGGGCAACTTTTTGTTGGGCTGGGCTGAGTTTTATTTTTTTTTTTGGGCATGCTCAGGCAGGCATCTTACGCATGCGGGCCTCGTGCACAGTCCTATGTGACACAATCATCAAACACTAGTACAAAGGAAGCACTAGGCTTAGGTATTTAAATGACCTGTCAACTAGGTATTATTATTATTATTATTTTTAGTGAACTAGGTATTCATTAATAAAAAAGTTTTAGTTGACTAATTTGAGTAAATTAAAAAAACTAATTAAATTAGTTATTTGTAATAAATATGTGCTGTCTTTGTTAAAATATTCTTACTAATTACATATATTGGCTAGAACCACTATTATTATAAGAACTATCTTAGAAAAAATAGGTAAATATGAGAGATAAAATAAATTTGAGTCTTATATTTAGAATTAAAATAAAAATCAAACAAGTTTTTATATTAAAGACAGGAAGAAATATAACTTGTGACTCTACATTGTTAATTGATTGTTAATCCCAATTGATAGATCTTTTTTCCCCCCTAACGTTAAATACCTAGTTGGCAAAACATGTGACACTTTAAACACGATGCTTCGTTTTGATGAAAAGAAGTAAGCTACCAACTACCAAGTATTCCATTAATACTTTAAGTGCAAAAAGGGTTTTTAACCCAAAGTTAATCTAGAGTTAATAGTCAATGTCATTTTCCATTAGTCCCAAGGATTGAAAAACTAGATCGACTTGAACTAATCACGATTAATTTACTGCCTTTTAGATTTTATATCTTACATATTACGTTATAAGTGACATTTTATGAAACATTATTTGACAAGACTAAATTTGTAAAATGAGAATAAATACTTTTTTTTATGAAACATCATTTTATTAGTACATAATACTAATTAACAAGGAAATTTTAAAAAAGATAGTTAGTAGTTGCTGAAAATTTAAAAAATTATTGTAAGATTTATAGATAAATGAAATTGGAAAGGTTTGTATCCGAGAAAAATCAGTTGATTTAAAATTAAAATATTGTGGAGAGAACTAAAATGAAACCTTGTTTTCAAGACAAGTGGAACCTAGGATTACTTTTCACTAATGCACTTCTGGAAACTCAATAAATTCCCCTCAATTAGTGATAAAATGGTAATATATGCCAGTCAAATATATTTGACAATGTTAGGTTAATAGATATATTGCTACTCTACTAACAAACCATCTATTTAATGCATATATTTTAGGTCTAGTATGATTTTACTTAAGTTCTACAACCAAAATAGCTTTCTCAAACATCAATTGAGCAAATCTATCTAAATGGTGATATAGCACTTAGAAGTATTAGATTCAAGGCAAAACCAACACATAGATACCATTAACACTAAGAGAAGATCATAAAATGAGTTTCAACCCATACCATGGCTCAAGTAATCCTAAAACAAAAGGTTTAGGTGCTCATAGTAAGAAAAGAGCAAGAAATATCTATAACTTCCATGTCCATATCAGAAAATGAGAGAACAATGAAGAGAAGTTTAGAAAAAAACTAAGAAAGAGGACCAAATCTCTTCAATCATCTAATCCCAATCTCCAAAACCTTCGAGATTCCCAAGCCCTAGCACTATATAGCTCTCAAGGCACCGCTCCAGGTCGTTCTCTCTGTTCCTAGGTTTAATGTCGAATTCCCTCTCTGCCCTAGCCCTAATATGCTGTAAATTCAAAACACAGTGTTTTGCTAAAATTTAAACTTTGTTGCGGTAAAGTTTCCTTTGCTGGGGCAAAGGTGCTCTGATAACTTTTTATTTTCTTTGTTTGGGTCTAGAATTCATAAAAAATGAAGCACTATCAACCAAACCTTTGATTACTTAATTTCTTTTAAGAAAAAATGATAGAAAAATATTTATTGAATTTAAAAAGATAAACAAATCATGCTAACTACTTTTCTAATATTTTTGACTACTTTTATAATGATTCTGACAAGTCAAAATCTGTCAAAAATCACCTATTTATCATTTCAAAATTCAATAAATATTTTTCTGTCATTTCTTTCCCTCTTTTAAATAAGTCTTGAATTTATCATAAACGATATCAAGATGACTCACTTTTAAATGCAGTGATAAATGAAAAATGATAAAATATTGGGAGTCAAGCATTGTCCACGTTAAGGGACTTGTTAAAACTAAATTACAAGTATAAAGTTTGAAACAAAAAAAATATAAATAAATAATTAGAAGTGTAAAGATTGAAGATTTGTGCTTACATTAGAAGAATAGTCCAAGGCTTAAGCAAAATAAATCAGCAAAGATCAAGGAGAAAGGAGGAGGAGGAGAAGCAAAACATTAGGCACTTTTACGAAGGTTATTAGAACTAAATTAAAAAGATAAATAAGTAGAAGTATAAATATAAAAAAAGTTGAATATTCAAATAACGTAAATGAACAATATAAGGAAAACATGAAAAAATAGATGAAGGGAACGAGCTAATGGCAAAGTAAAGCAACGTGAGTATCACCTTAAAAAAAAAAAAAAACTATAGCAACGTGAGTCACTTCGGATTTTTTTATAAAAGCCTAATATATTATGTATATGAGAAAAAAATTTATTTTTTAGTTCTTCAATTTTTAATTCAATTATAACCGGATTCTTTAATTATGACCTGATATGCCTTGATCCCTAAATTTTTGACTTATTTATGACTCAATCCCTGCTCTTTTCACTTTTTTAAACAATATGAGTCTGCCCAACACTAATTCGGTCATCCAACGTGCAAAAAAAAAAAAAAAAAGATTCCGTGTCACGTGGAATTTATATAAAATTGAAAAGAAACATCATGCAGATTAACTTCGGAAAAGCTCCTCCGAACAGGTTTACCTGCAACTAACTGCAGAGCCTAGTGGAAGACTCCTCCATTTGGATCATGTGAAAAGTTGATATAAGTAACTGTATTCAAAGTCCTTAATTATTAGTTCCTAATTAGAAAAAATTTCTGCTTCTGAGGAATTTAAAGTTCATCTTAAAGCATTGATGGGTCATTTTGAAACTAATTACATAGAACTGAACTATCATTAAACTTAATATGTTAAGTGAAAGAGTAAACTTCGTTAATCAAATTCTATGCGCACATGAAATCACAGAGTCCATTATACTATACAGCAAATTCACCAATGACGATGAGAAAGAGAGAAGACGAGAGTGCTCAGGAGAAGTTACTCAAAATCACCCGTGTGCAAAACTGACTCTCTCAATTTACGTAAACCTATGACTCACGTATGAGAAATTATTACAATTTGAATTTTAAATCAATAAGGTAAAACTTCCTCTTTCCACCCATGTGCTTTTCTTTAGTAGCATATAAGCCCCGCCTATATTGGGCTTGGACTGAACTGGGGACATTCCAGCAGATACCTACACATGCGCTTACGTAATTTTTTACTGATTGTGAAATGTTTTTGTCCAGGGAAGATATGAGTACACTTAAGGGGGCATTATATAGATACTTGTTTTGCAATCTTCCGCCCCATCCAGCGGGGTTACTACTCCGTAGTGTGAAAGATGTACTTCGTCTGTTGATGGATGGGACTTATTCCATCGGAATATGGGGGGTTCCAGGTATTGGTAAAACTACTTTTGCCAGAGCTATTTACGATAGAATTTGTGGCAGGTTTGAGAGAAAAAGTTTCCTTGCAAATATCAATGATGAATGGAAAAAAGATAACGGTCTAGTTCATCTACGACAGCAACTTATTTCAGATGTTTTCGATACAGAACTTGATATGGTTCATGATGTTAAGATGGGAGCTAGTCAAATGAAGGAGGCACTGTCCAATAAAAGTGTACTGGTAGTGTTTGATGATGTGAATCATATAGACCAACTCATAGCATTATGTGGGAGTAGGGATCTGTGCTTTGGCAAAAGGAGTTTAGTACTTGTTACGTCAACAAGTAAGGATCTAATTCTTGGCCTCGGACTCTACTTTTATGAAATGAAGGCGCTGGATGAGAGTGAGTCTCTTGAGCTTTTCAGCTGGCATGCATTTAAGAAATCTAGTCCAACAGATGATTTCATGTCTCTGTCAGGGAAAGCAATAAATTTTTGTGAAGGACTACCATTAGCTCTTGAAGTTATTGGCTCTCTTTTGCTTAATAGGACAAAAAAAGAGTGGAATAATGTGTTGAAGAAATTGAGAGGAATTCCTCGTGGTCAAATAAAGAGAAGCTCAAGATAAGCTTGAATTTTTTAACCGATTCAGAGAAAGATTTATTCTATAATATAGCTTCCTTTTATGTGGGTCTAAATAAACATGATGTTACACAATTGTTAAAGGGCTCAAAATCTCCTGTAGAAAAGGCAATGCATGAGATTATAGAGCGGGGACTTGTAAAAGTTGATATGAGTGATAAGCTTGATGTTCATCATTTGTTGCGAGAGATAGGAAGAGAAATCAGTCCTAAAAAGATAAAGCATGAATATATCTATGATGTATTCTTGAGTTTTAGAGGTGAAGATACACGTAAATCTTTTACTACTCATCTTTGCACTGCTTTAAAGAAAGCAGGTATTGAGGTCTTCATGGATGAAGAGGGGATTGGAAGGGGTGAAGCCATTTCTTCCTCTTTACTGCAAGCAATTGAAAGTTCAAGAATGTCGATAATTATATTCTCAAAAATTATGCTGGTTCTAGTTGGTGTTTACAAGAATTAGAGAAAATCATGGAGTGTCACAAAACAACTCATCAAGAGGTCTTACCAATATTTTATGATGTGCAACCATCTGAAGTTCGTAAACTACAAAATATTTTTGGAGAAGCATGGAAAAGACTCACACTAAGAAACTCAACTAGCAAAGTGAAGAAATCGATGATCAATTGGAAGAGAGCACTCATTGAAGCTGCGAATATATCTGGGTGGGACATGCATGAATGTAGGTAAATCTGATTACCATTCTTTTTCAGTCAACAAGTTTGATTATCTTTTGCTTGTTACTATATGACATCGTTAAAGTCCTTAATTTCCTACTGGTAATCTGCGCTTCTACATATGAAAACAATGTCATTGGGTAAAGAAAATACTTGGTTGTAACTGGGATATTATAAATGATCAAGCTGCTTACTCTTACAAATCACACAATGAGCACTGAATGAATCTTAAAAGAAAGGTTTTTGTAATTTTCTTACAGAAGATGCGTCAGAAGAAGGGTTTGAATTTAGGTCATACATAACAAATACCTTTAAACAAAATTTTAGCTAACATCTATGTTAAGAGGAAATTGAGAGTTGTTAGTCTCCAAGCTTAATAATTAAACGCCAAGATTGACCCTGATATAAATGTAACTTGTTTTTGCCAGAACTGAAACGGAGTTGATTGACGATGTGGTTGAAACTATAACAATGAAGCTAGACAGCAAAGACTTGTTTGTTGCTCACCATCCAGTGGGAGTGGAGCCTCGTGTGCAAGATATCATCAAGTTGCTGATTAATAAATCAAATGAGGTTATCATAGCAGGGATATGGGGGATGGGCGGGATTGGCAAGACTACTATTGCTAAAGCGATCTTCAATGAAATTGGTCAAACATTTGAAGGAAAGTGTTTCCTCTCAAATGTGAGGGAAGTGTGGAAGCAAGATAATGGTCAAGTTTATCTTCAAAAACAAATTCTTTCAAGCATCTTTAATGCAAGAAGAGTGAAGCTCACAAGTATAGAAATGGGGACAACTCTAATCAAGCAAATGCTTTGTAAGAAAAGAGTACTTATTGTTCTTGATGATGTAAATAATGATGATCAGTTGAAAGCTTTATGTGGAAATCATGAATGGTTTGGTAGAGGTAGTAGAATACTCATCACTACTAGAGATGAACGGCTACTCAAGATCCTTGGAGTGGAAGATCATAAGATATACAACATGAAAGAAATGAATGATAGTGAATCTCTTGAGCTTTTTAGTTGGCATGCGTTTAAGCAACGATTCCCTGAAAGAGATTATGTTGAATTTTCAAGGAGGATAGTTTCTTACTCAGGAGGTTTACCGCTAGCTCTTGAAGTTCTTGGCTCCTATTTATTTGATAGGGAAGCATTGATATGGGAAAGTGTTCTACAAAAACTACAAAAAATTCCAAATGATAAAATACATGAAAAGCTAAAAATAAGTTATGATGGTTTGAGTGACCAAACAGAGAGAGATATATTCCTTGATATATGTTGTTTTTTTATTGGGAAGGACAAAAGCTATGCTACACAAATATTAAATGGTTGTGGACTTCATGCTGATATTGGAATTATTCGTCTGGTAGAGAGGAGCCTCATAAAAGTTGGCAAGAAAAATAAGCTTGATATGCATGACTTACTACGTGATATGGGAAGACACATCATTCGTGAGCAATCACCAGAGGATCCTGAGAAGCAGAGCAGATTATGGTCTCATGATGATGTGCTAGATGTGCTAAGAAATTGCACGGTGAGAATGTCTCTCAATGACTTATATTGTTTAATTTATGTTGTTTTTTTCATTATCGTTTTGCAGTTCCATTTTTTAGTTAACTATTGCGTGTTCAAACATTTATCATATTGCTTGTTTATTATATATGTTATGTTTCGGTAACTGAAATATCATTTATTTTTATTTCCCGTTATTTCCATTTTAATAGGGAACAATAGCGATTAAGGGATTGGCTTTGAACATGTCAACAAACAATTTAGGACCATTGAGTGCCAAAGCATTTGAGAACATGAAGAAGCTTCGTTTGCTCCAACTTGATCATGTACAACTTACTGGAGACTTTGGTTATCTATCAAAGGACTTAAGATGGCTGTGCTGGAATGGATTTCCCTTAGAAAACTTGCCAGCAAATTTAAGTCTCGAAAAGATAGTTGCCATAGACTTAAAGTGGAGTAATCTCACAAAAGTATGGGAGAAAAGTCAGGTATTTACAATGAAATTTTCAAATTAGACACTAGCAGCAATTGTCATGTTAATTTGTTTCCATATGTTTTATTCTTTCCATTCATTGTGTTTATTTGTTTTAAAATGTTCTCTTGGTGCAGAGGCTAGAGTGGTTGAAAATTCTCAATTTGAGTCATTGTCATCATTTGACAAAGACACCTGATTTTTCAAAGTTACCATATCTTGAAAAGCTAATACTCAAAGATTGTCCGCTTGTGTTTTCGATTCACCCCTCCATTGGAGATCTTAAATACATTGTTCTGTTAAATTTAAAGGACTGCAAAGACCTTAATCATCTCCCAAGAGGTATATATAACTTAAAATCTTTGAAAACTCTCAATCTTTCTGGTTGTTCAAAGATTGAAAAGTTGAAAGAAGACATTGGGCAAATGGAATCCTTGACAACTTTGGTGGCAAATCAAACTTCTATTACACAAGTTCCCTCCTCATTAGTGAGAATGAAAAGTATTAAATTTGTGTCACTATGTGGCTTCGAAGGATTATCGCGCGATGTATTTCCATCGATTGTTATGTCTTGGATGTCACCGACAGTTCATTCGAAGTCCCTGCTACGAGCATTTACGATTATGCCATCTTTAATCAAGGGTCTATCACATCCTTTATTTGCCAGAAGCCGTAAAGTATTAGAAGCAAGACCCAGCACATCTCAAGATTCATGTAGAACTCAAGGGTTAATTGGTTTTCAAGAGAAATCTCACATGGAAAGGTTAGAGCCATTGAGTTCTTTAACTATTCATTTAGGCGGCTTCAACAAAGTTATGGATGCACTTTTAAACAGTATTTCACAGGTAATTTCTTTAGAAACCGCCATTAATGTATTTTCAATTAAATCAGCATGATGATTTTCGTTAGTGTGAGCATTATACTACCTCCAGTCCTAATTATAAGACCCAGTTGACTTATTTGAGGAGATTAAGGAAGTAAGTTAAGTTAGTTATTTATAATAAAAAGTATTGTCATTCTTAAAATATCCTTGCTAATTAAGTGTATTGGCTAGAATATCATTATTAGAAGGACTATCTTGGAAAAAAAATACATAAATATGAGAGACAAAATGGATTAGGGTCTTATAATTAGGACCAAACAAAAGTCAAATGGGGTCTTATATTAAGGACCGGAAGTAGTACTATTATATTTCCTCTATTCTCAATTCTTTTTCCTTGTTGATGGATTAGGGATGGAGTGACGGAGGGTTTGACTATTCTCAGCTTCCTCAAGATAATTATCCTGATTGGCTATGTTTTGAGAGTGAAGGATCTTCTGCATCATTTAAAACGCCTCGAGTTTTGGGTTGTTTGATGGGAATGGTAATCTATATTATCTATTCATCTTCTCAAGATAGCATGGCATCCGTATATCCTGTTGGCTTCATGATAAAGAATTTCACAAAGGGTACTATGGACTTTTACAAGAGAGATGATGCAGCGACTTCTGCTGATGATGACTGGCACAAAATAATACTTAATCTAGAGCCTGATAATGAGGTGAAATTACAGTCAATTTTGCCCAGAAGCATATTGTAAAGAAGACTTTAATCTATCTGGTATGCGATGAAGGAACTACACTAAGTATCACTCGATAATGTTAAATCATTGGTAAGAAGGCAGGTTTGTAATTTTTTTCCCCCTCAATTGGGATTGTCGTATAGATTTTCATATGTTTATTCTGAAAAAAGTTTTAATATTTCTTTCCATGTATATAATATTGCAGGGCTTCGTTAAAAGGAAGAAGAGGTGAAGAATGACAGGTACAAGGCTGTAGGTTATGGCACTCGTCTCTTTTTTTTTGACCTTTACTTTTTTATTTGTTGAGCAAAACAGCAAAAGAAAAAATCAAGAAAAAGTCAATATTTAAAAATTTTATTGATCAGAATGACCTAAATTTGAATATGGGTGTTTTTTCAGGTATGAATCCTTTATAATATTAGTATTTAGATTATTTGGCCAACAAAATTTTTAAAAAGGGATTTTCACCAATTTTTTGGGAAACTTTTTTTTAAAAATCGTTACCATGTATTATCTGTCACTATACTGTCCTCCACTTTTGTCACTCGCATTTGGCAATTTGGCATCATTATATTTATTTCACGACACAAACGTCATACAAGCAGTGAAAAAAAAACCGGACCGAACCGGCGGTTCAACCGGGTGATGAACCGGCCGTGGTCCCGGTCCGGTTAAAATAAATTGAACCCGGTCATAAAATGAACCGGCATCA